TAGCACACATCAAAGGAGGGTTCGACGATAAGGTGAAGGTCGAGGAAGGGGAAATTTACCTAGTGGAAATAGAGGCGGACCCCCTAAAGGTGCGGGCTGACACGAAATTCTCAGCGAAGGATGTGACCCCAGGGTCAAGCGAGGCGTCGAGGAAAATTTGGAAATACGACCCCCCCTCCCTCCGCCAGAGGCCGAAGTCCATGAAACGACCCTCTTCAAAAGCCGAACTATGGAAAGGTTGTCTAATTCTCCCCCAAAACTGTTCATAAAAAAGCCCTGCTATCACACCGTCAACCGAAAATTCTTTTAAAAAGTACAAAAGTGAAAAGTCAAAAAATTAATCATTATTGATGAGTCCTACCAAACGAGCAAACGAAAAAAGCAGCAGAAAACCTCAAACTACTCACTAAAAATGCATACTATGACAACATCTCTTCTTTATTTATTTCCTTCACAAGACTTACCAAAATTTAGTACTACACAGAGTACGGTTATCAATTTACACGTCCCCCTTCAGTTGAAAGAAGCTTTTTAACCGTCCTTAGCCAGCTGTGTGCTGACTGATCTTTGGCGTTGACCGTGGAGCAGCTTATTACTATTGAAATTTGAACAAATATTCAAATGATTATAACTTTCTTCAAATTAACGAATTTTCAATCTGAAAGCAGATTTGGGAGTTTTGTGAAGAGCTTTTCTAATCAGTATTGAAATTACAAAAATTATAAGAAATAACAAATTTAGATCAATTAACGAGGAAAATTCATGATGAGCACGAGTTTTTACACTTTCCGAAGCCGTAACTTGCTTCATTTTCATCATTCCCGAAAAGTTAATATGTCAGACAAAACTAGAAGATTTTCTCTATCAAACGGTTGCTAAAGCAGCTTTATACGTCCACTAAAAAATGGCCACGTTGAGGATTTTTGCAAAATTAACGAGGAAAATTCGTGATGAGTGCGAGTTTTTACGCTTTCCAAAGCCATAACTCCGTTCAAACTCATGCAATCTGGAAAGTTAATACGTCATCATAAACTAGAAGATTTGCTCTTTCTAGAGGCAACTAAAACTGCTAAATACGTTCACTATTTAAAAAATGGCCACGTTGAGGATTTTTGCCCGAGTACCGCCGAAAGGTACTTTTTCGCTACATTAGCACTATCCAACGACTATAGCTCCTTTCAGGGCAATTATACACTAAAGTAGGAGCAGATTCGAAATCCTCTTTCTTTTCTCTTTCCAAGAAGTGTAAAATTGTTTAGCGTGTCTTAACTTTAACGATTACATGCTTGTGAATTTGACGCTGAAGGCTGCATTTCTTGCTCAATAGTGTACTCCTCCATGTAATCTCACACAGACCCTTTCAGGATCCTCTTAATTTTTCTCTGAATTGAGAGTTTTTCTCTCAAGAGCCGTAGTTGAAAGCGCGCGCAACTAACTGGGCCCACTCTGGTATGCGCCGTGTGCTTCACATCCCTTGAGATTCGAGGACTCACCTGAAAGATAAAATATCCGTTGGAAAACGTGCGAATTTTGGATTTTTTGACTTGTTAGTGATAGTTTAAAGATAAAACTCTGAGGTAGTGAAAAATCACTACGCGCACACCTCTGAATCACGAAAATTTTATGTGGGCGGAACAGCATTGGTACTGGAAGTCCTCTGGCCTTCCATGGCATCGACTCGATCCCTGATGTTTGTCCTCCGACAGTGGTGCATCAATCCGGCCCGATCCCTTCCTCCCAGCGGGCCAATACGACCCCCCCCCCCTGCGACGTGTCGAGGATTCCTCAACGCACACTTGACCCTGTGTGGACCCCAAAATCAGCAATCGCACCTCCCGCAAACGCTACTGGTGCAGCTGGCTAACGCACCGGCGCCGCAGTCGCTAGCCGTCAGTCAGAGAGTGAGCGGGCGTTTACGTTGAAGAGGGCAGCATCGATGAGAGTCGCACATCAATGCGAAATCAATGGGCAAGGAGGGCGTCCCATTTCTCGGGTTCTAGACCGTACTCCCACCTCTACCTTGACTCTAATGGGCCGCCTTCTCATCGTAAACTCCGCTTTCGTAACAGCAGTGCACAATGGCTTTCCATGGTCCGAACGGTAATCCTCTTTGTGAAGGATCTTTAAATCCTTCTATTATATAAAGCGCTAACTTTGTGTGTCGGTTTGTGTATCTGTATGTGTGTGTGTGAGTGTGTGTGTGTGTGTGTGTGTGTATGTATGTGTGTCCGTCCGCAAAATGAAGTGAGTGAGAAGGAAGCTCATGGGATAAACAAACCGCTAACAAATCGGGTAGCTTACAGGATTTGAGATATCAATGTTTTGTAGCAGGATAGTTGTGATAACACTCTTAGGGCTATATAAACACCTGCTTAGCACACTTCCGTTCATTCCACATGGTGCTGCAGTGGCAGCTGGAGGGCAGTGGAGAGAGGAAGGGAGGATGAGGAAGGGAAGCGAAAAATCTACCGTCATATCATGATTGTGTCCCTTCTACTGTATGAAACACCATTGTGTTGCATACGCGTCACTTCCAGAGGTGTTGGTGTCACAGGAGGAAGGGACCATAGCGGAGGATAGAAAGCTTGCGCAGGAAAGGAAGGTCCCGGCGGTTGACGGGGGACTAATCTGGTTTATAATAAGCGAAACACTTTGTGCTCAGTTTCAACTTCACGTGCGCACAGCTCCATACCATACCACGGAGCCTAGCTTCGCAGGCGTGAAACTAAAAAAAAAATGTAGGTTCTTACTACGTTTTGGGGAACGTAATTAGCAGCTTTCCGTAGCCCTTGTGTTGGCGAGAATGCTGACGATTTCTATTACTTAAGGCGTGTCCTTATGGTAGTCTCTAGTGAGCATCATGAGTGCTCACTGCGTGTGAATTACAAGGAAGGTCTTTCAGGGTGTGCCAAGCTTTTCAAAACGGTCTTTTGCATGATATAGGGGCACATGCGGGAACCACAGAACCATGGTTAATTTTTCCTGAACGGCCCTCTGAATACCAGAAAAGGGGGTCCCTAGTCACACCTTTTTCACCAGTTTTTTCAATCAAAGTCTATTTGTAAGGGTTACTGACGGTCCTAATCATGAATATGGTACTAATTATTCATGCTAACTCCATTTTGCGCGAATTTTGAAACGTCAACTCGAAATGCAAAAATTTGTCACCACGAGGAATCGAACTAGGGACCCCTTTTCTGGTATTCAGAGGGCCGTTCAGGAAAAATGAACCATGCTTCTGTGGTCCCCATATGTGCCCAATGTCATGCAAGAAACCATTTTGAAAAAGCTTGGCACACCCTGAACGACCTCCCTTGTTAGCGCGTTTACAGTGAGGTTGGGCACTATTGTTCTTCCACAACCACGAGGAAGGTCAAAAAATTCTCCAAAACTTCGCCTATAGGAACTATGCCGTATTCATGCCACGAAAATGACATTGGGTTTTGACATTGGCGATATTCGGCGCCAGTTCACGCCAATTTGGCTTCACACAATTACCCACCCGATTCGCATGAAACTTCGTGTTTGCGTGTGTGGTGGGAGGGGGAGGAGGTGAGTTGTGTGTCATCCTAGTCACGATCACATTCGTTTATGAGGACAAGGCTGAGGGTCTAGACGATGTCAAGCTTTCCCCGAGAAAAATGTAGTGGTACGCAAGCGGAAGCATGGATGATTTGACAAGGCCGAGGAGCTAATGCTAAGACCCTAGGATGCAGTATTGGCCCCGCCCACAAATCAGTGTTGGAGCAACGTGGCTTTCGGGGATCTGGGGGGGGGGGGGGGGGGGGGGGGGAAGGGAACAGCTCACATCGCGTCAGATTCGCGAAAACATATAGTTTTAGGACTGAGCCTCACAGGAGAAGAGGGAATCCTAGGTGTGTAATCAATTCGTATCTCTCCGGAATTCGTCTATCTTTCGTTAGGTTTAGTTCTAGTGACCATCCTACAGACTGCCCCTCACTCGCCCCCCCCCGCGCCTCAATGCTATTTCGCTTCACCGCTACTAGGGAGGGGGCTTTATTGTTTACAAGGACCTGTCGAGAGCTCTTAACGTTTAGTTTAGTTACTTTTTTCAATCTCCACTGTCACTTGCAAACGAGAGAGAATTAGTTCCATCCCAGACTTTATCACTAGGTCTGGCGCTGTCTGGCTCCAGCCTGACGCAGTGTGAAGCCGATTGGGGCTGGCGCAAAACTGGCGCTTGTGCTAGCGAATGTCTTGCCCACATCGTAACCGCTACTGAGTAAGGCCTTCAGCAGGAAAGTTTTTGAACTTTTTTGGCGTTGTTATCTTGCGGGTTGCATAGCGTCGAATATTGAGAGATGGCGTGATGTAGAATAAACATGGATACCCAACGTTAGTTTTTTCAGACTCCGGCGCATTTCTCATTCTCTCATTTTGCCGTTACAATAAACAAACATGCGAAATTTCAGATTCAACTCAATCGTCAAATTGCAGTCGTAGGATTGGGGTTGTCTTGGTGGGACTGCACACACCACACAGGTGACGAACTAAAGGTACGCCTAATTACGCTGCTGATTTAATTACTCATCTTTCTCCTTTGCAACTTCTTCATTTTATGAGGAGGTTTTCTTATTTCTTTTCTTTCTTCTAATTTTGAAGTGCCCTGTGTAACGGTTTTGTGGATGTGTTTCAGAAATGTCACTACCAAAGCCTATTTCTTGCGTATCTGCGCAACTTAGATGCCAATAGCCTTGCCGTGTTGTTGCATCGTGTATTACATCTTATTTCGGTTTATCGGGTGTTGGAGTCGGTTTTTTATCGATTGCCTATATAGCACTTTCAGGAACGATTTCGCCATTCTGTTCTTTGGGGGAATTTGTGTTAGCGTTAGAAGTGCGGCTAGGTCCCTATCCTCGATGGCTACCAATTCTATAGCATCGCCAAGTTCGTTTCGTCTTTTCACTCACAGTTATTATTTTTGTCTGCATGGTTTATACCTTTCTTCATCCCTCTCATATAATGTAGTCTTCTTAGGTTTGAGTAAAAGAGTTCAAAAGGAATGGGCAGTGCCGACCAATGCACAACCACTTCCCCAGCTGTATCTCTACAATAGTCTCACCCGACGGAAGGATTTATTTGTACCGAACCAGGGTAACGTGGTGAGTCCCTTCTGCTTTGATAAGTGATTCTACGACTTACAGTTTTCCTATGTGTTGGCACATCACATTTGTTCAGGTGAAATGGTACATTTGTGGTCCAACAGTTTACGATAGTTCTCATATGGGCCATGCAAGGACCTATCTATCTGTCGACATTCTTAGACGAATAATGACTTCTTATTTCGGCTACGATGTGCAGTTCATTATGAATATCACTGATATCGATGACAAAATTATAAAAAGGTGTGCTTCCTATGAGTTCATTTTCTTTTTTGGTTTATGAGTTGTATTATACTGTAACGGGTGCTAACTTAGATGAAGAGATAGGGTCAACGGACTGCTTGAGCTCGGTCCATTGATCCGCCTCAATTCGATGCTCTCATCTGCGCGGGTGTGGTTCACTAGGACAGAAAGCAGGTTTTTTGCGTTTCGCAGCGCGAAACATTTTTCGCTGCGGGAACCTCAGGCCACCTCTG